AGAATCGTTTATCTCAGGGTTTAACCATATCTCTGTAATCTTGACGAGGTCCCGCGGTTGTGAGGCATGGAGTTGTCTAAGTTCTGCCAACTTGCTTAGAAGGCCTTGGGCGTTTGTATACATGCAAGATAGGGCTTTTATTGTTAGGAGTTCATTGATAGGTGTCAAGTTTGTGTTAGTTTTAAGCCGGTCGTTAAGTGGCCGGCCGTTAATCGTTTTTGTTTATGGACTTCAGTCGTGTATCATGACATTATTGAGCGTTCCTGAACAGTCGTTTCACTCGTGCTGTTCTCGGTCCTCTTGTGTGCCGTGCGCGCTTTCGTGTCGGTTTCTCCGCAGGACCGTGCAAATAAAGAATTTGTAGCGTTTGCAAGGTCTTTAGAATTACTTCCGACTTTTGGTCGTTCGCCTGCTACCTTTAGCCGGATCTCTGTTGGCAACCTAGCTCGAAAATTTAACCAGCTATCCAACAGAACTTGCGTCATTCCCTCAGAGTGTAGTATTACTTTCAGTAGCCTTGGACCGCAACCCTTGTAGTTAGGTGATGACGGAACTCTTGTCAGGGATTTGACAATAATGTTGTCAACAGTGATTGCTTCGCGGATGTAGCACCATTGCTCTCGATCATGTGTTTGCGCATCGTGATCAGAAGAATGCAGAAGCTCGGAACACCATGAACAAATATTGTTTTCTTGCTAGCCCTATTAGAAATGCCGCGTTGGTCAACTGCTTCTTTTGGGCGATCTTTCCATTGTTGATCAGGTAATGTACGCACTCTGCTCGATGAGTTGCGAAGACGAACTGCTGAGAGCAGGACAGCCTCTGTCTCATCTGCTGAGTCTAGTGTTACTCGAATAATTCGAGGTTCACCAAAGTGCACTGAGGTCGGGTGACGCGCTACGTTTTGCATCATTGCAGGCTCAACCCGAATACCAATCGCCTTGCAGATGGACCTCCACTGGTTGCGATCGTCTTGCAACTTGCCTTTTATTGTGCCAGATTTGGATTCGGGAACATTGGTGCACACGAGAGTTAACACAGCGTGGTTTCGTCTAGCGAGTGTTGGCTTCATAGTTTTTGCCGTCAATTCGGGTTGTTTAGAAGGCACCACTGGATTTGACAGTGAAAACTGCTTTGCACTACGCGTGCTCCGTACTGAAGATGGACCTATGTGTGTCGCTCCCGGTGTGTTTGTCGAGGCTATCGATGCGTACGTTACCTGCTTGTTATCTGCACCGGATTGCCTTCGGCTCTGAGTGGTCGGTGTCATGGCTGAATCTCCAAGTGAAGCCTCTATGGTTGGAGAAGTGGAAGCAGACATGTTTGAGACTTGTCCACTTATGGGACTGAGGTGACCCAGTGGTTTTATAGTCACAGACGCTGCAGTGCCGTTGGAGCGTCTAGCTCTCTTCTTCGGCTTAGATTCCGAGCTTACTTTGGCTGCGTGAGGTATTATCGTGGCCATATTTATATTTATATTGGGATGGATCTTAGTACTTATAAAATGCGCGATTATCTCAGTCATCCCATCGCACTTTTTGACGAGCAAAGGTTGACAATTGGAATGACTTGATATGTTGGGCAAAACCAAATTGTGTCAGCAACTTGGTTTGTCTGTCTCACTTCTTGGACGGATTCGCCCACACATTGCGGACAGTACGATTTAATGCAGCTAGAACAGGTAACAATGATCTTAAGGACTTTACTGCAATTGTCTGCGCAATATAGGCGACGTTGAACCATTGGAATGCTAGTCGTCCTCTTATTGTTTACAGCAAGGTCTATCTAAGCGCTCACCTTGACGAGTGTTCTTTGCGCCAGGAGTGACGCACGAATAGGTCAGAAGTCGCATACGAAATGAGTTGTTCAACCGCACCAAGGTCGGGCGGTAGAGGCAGATGGAGGTCGTAACGTGCAGACTGTCGTGTTCAGTGATCAATCAACTCGCAGTTGAGCACACATACCCACACAAAGCGGCCTGCCTTAAGCGACGATGCAGGTGGAGCGCTGATAAGCGTTCTTAGAACTGCTCAGTTTATAAGCGAAGCAAAAAGGCTGGAACTTGCAGGGATGGTTGCCGCGTAGTTTGGGAGCCCTCAGCTTCTTCTTCCGAATAAGACCAAAATCTTTTCCGAAAAACCGGTTTGATGTAGTTACACAAGTGGAATTCGGCAAATAATATGCCGAAAACTGGGAAATGGAGCAAGAGTATAATCCACACAGCTTAGATCCAAGAGTTGGGAAGCACTGTGTAGAGCTCGTCGAACTGGTTCGAACGAGCGCAAGCACCATATTGTGTGGGGAGAATTAGAGTGGCCACAGAGGGCAAAGCGAGAACCGAGTTAAACTGCGGTCACACAGGAACTTGTTGTGTGGATCAAAACGCTCGGTCCAGGGAACAGGGCGATCACTGACCGGAAAGAAATCCAACAATCCCGGCCGATTAAATTGTCTTTCAAGGTACTCAATCAATTGCTCCAGGAGTCTTAACAACTTGTGGATAGGCTGTCCACTCTCGTCACATATACTTTCACCAACACCAGGTCGCTTGCTTCCCCTTATCCGGTATCAGACGGAATACCTTGCGATGGTTACCAATGGCAGCGGCCACTTCCCTTTCTGATGCACGATGAGACCACTAGGATTCGCGGTCTTTCTTCAGACTAACACGGAGTTTTGCCTTGTGATCTTATAAGTATTGTTGTGATCGTTTTCAGTTGGAATGTGTCGGTGAGCATCGCTAAGTTCTAGAGACTACGTCGAGACCCAATGTCCTGTTTGGAGATTCGATTTGTCCCAGGAGGATCTGCATGCTGCTAATAAGGTCTGGTGATCATGCGATCAGTGGCCTTCAACTGCATTCAGTGAACGCTTACTCAATCCGGATGCCACCGAACTTTGATACACATTTAGAATATCTGGCTTCGCGTGGGTGTCTGGGCACTCACAGCGTCGTCGTGCACCTCCACTAAGACGCACATGCAGTTAACACATACAGCTGCATGATCAGTGTCCACACGTGCTCCAAATCGAGCGACAGTTTTAAACTCAACCTCTCCAGCGGCAACTGATCGCGATGTGGTCGATTTGTGTCCATGGCTGGTCCAAGGCTGGAGGGCGCTATGTCACCTTTCTGTGAGTGCTGGGTCGGAAGTCTGATCTCAAGAAATAAGCTAGTATCTCCACACAAATGAAGTAACCGCTCATCGTTATCGTTACGGCATCCTACACCCTGTCGGCCACCTGGATGAAGTTCACCAGTTGGCCATTTCTCAGCTTGAGCGTTCAGATCCCCAGGCACCACAACAGTGTCCGTGGTTCTTCTGTGACGAAGGAGCTCGTTCTGTTGGCGACAGAAATTGTTTTTTACCATCATCGGTACAGTTTGTGGGGGCGTATGCAGCGATGACAAACAAGCACCTATTAGCACATCGCGACTTCGAAGATTTGAACGATCGCGCCAGCTCGGAATACGACTTCAGAGACATGTGCTCTATTCCTGAGTGTTTCTTGCGCGAATCCTGGAAATATCTTTTCCGTTTCGGAAGATATTCATATCTGCTATCTCAAACTGGATTTACACATAAAAAAGCACTTTTACGCACCTTTTACCGTGACCTACGACTTCTATTGCATGATCCTCTGGTTTGTGCCCCAGTTATTCTTTGGTTGTGAAAGTGATTTAACGTTGTACTTAATTTCCTGCCTTCAGTGACCGCTTGATTCATTGATTCGTTTACCTTGGAACTAAACATACAAACCAATACGCAGTCCTATGCGGCATATCTGGTATGTAATCGTCATCATGTAAGGTATGTCAGCTGAGGGTTACAGAAAAGAATACTTTGTCCAATAGTTACCTCACTTTATTTCATTCTAGAAACGGTCCAAGGTTTGTTGAGTAGCGCCTAGGATACTAGTCGGGTGCAATGACACGTAGACGTTCCAAATGCGGGACGATAGATGGCAGCAACTGGACCCAACGTATATTTTACTGACTGCAAGGAGTGGGAATCGAATCAGCAAGGGAGAGAGATGTGTAACGTGGAACTCATGAGAGCTTCTTTTGAAAACGGGTGTAAAGTCAATAAAACAAGTGGACCTTGAGATGGTTCAAACAACATTAAACTCCAATGTTGCAAAATACTAAGTGTGTTTTCAGGTGCACTATGGGTTCGATTGAAGTAATGCGGTCATTATTGAAATCATCTCCTTTGAATGGCAGTTCGAAAGATTGGCTTCTTTTGGACTGTTGGTGAATGATCTCCATTGACTATGTCGCTCAGGTGCTCCATAAATGGCAACGGATAAACTTCCTTTCGTTATGTCTAAAGCAACAAATCTTTCCTTACTTTTAATTTGTCCGAGATGCACATCATGTGGGCTCAATAAAACAGGGTCGGACGACCGAGCATCTATGGGTTATCTGAGATAAACCCTTAACATGCAAACACTGACATGTCCAAGTTGTTGTCCCTTACACTAACTTTCTGGTCCTACCATCCAATCATCATGTGATCGGTATGTCCCTACATGGATTGTTCTACTCAATTTCACATTTCACTGCATGCTGTTGGGTATCTCGGTCGCACGCACAGTGTCCTCGTTGGAATCCATGATACCATCCACCTAACGCTCGTTATGGTATCAACTGCCTTCTCTTCGATCATGCCATGAACACTCCCACCAACTAAGGGCCTTGCGAACTTCTCAACACAACACCGTGTGTATCTGTCACTATGGCTTTCCTCGAAAATGTAGCTTGATATTTGACGTGCGTAAAAGACTTCATATGGCCACGTTTTGTATACCCATCATTGATTTCATGATTTCGATCGACGTGCATGCACGATATGACAGTCATCTCACAACTTACATCTTCAGATTTACTAGTTTGGAACTATAACCAGAATTTCCTGGAACTTTCCTGTTTTCGTAATGAAGATAACTAAACCTTCACAAGCCTGCGCTCAATCCTTCCTCTGTTGCACTTACTTTAGCGCATCTGGCAGGCAGAATATATTCCTTTATGGTTACGCCCGTTGAAAGTCATCGTTACATCACCCGATAGTGGATTAATCGAACCTGTACCTGATACAGTGTCCTTTCATCAAATCCGCCGACATGCACGCCTGTCTCTTTTGGATTATCTGTTAAAAGAACATGGACCACCCAATTCAGAGGCATTTCTGACTGCTCAGCGAAATTTTGTTCACAGTTGTGCTGCATACTCCGTTGTTGGTTATCTTTTACAAGTGAAGGACCGGTGAGTTGTCAACTTTTATACACAGTTGTCAAATTAATCCCTCACGATGGGCTTGTATGATAATGATGCGCACCAACAAGTATTAGTTGCTTGTTGTCTTTCCCCTGACATTGTTCACCGATGCATTGTGATACCGCATTCTCTATTGGCGCCATCGGGTTCTCTGGATATTTTCTAACCAAAATATGATCACCAAACTCCAACGCTTTAATTTTACGTTTGTTGTTTTTTTTTATCAGTGACCAATACCACCACTCGTAGAGCCTATCGCAGTGGTAGAATTGAAAGGACGCGCACTGCTAACCTTGGGCAGTTTCGATTTTAGACCTGTCGGAATAACAAAATACTGACGATCGTTTAAGGTTCTGCATCGCGATACATTTACTTTTTGTCGTACCTAAGCATCCCTTTTAGGCGCATTTGATCCTTAGATTTGGTGATTTTCTTCCATTGGTACTCTCATCGTGCCTTTCCTTAGCTGCCATCATGAAATGTATCTCTGTTTACCAATTCACCCATTCTTTGTCTGTTCGTTACCAGCACTCTTTCCGGGGAGTTGATGATGACTCGTAAATCATTATCTTCGATTAGCTGTTTGCTATCCTGAGCTGGGTCAAGATCCTGAAGAGCTTTTTTAAACTGACGGCTTATGCATTTTGCTTCTTAATACCTTACTTGTCCCCAAAACACTAATAATAATATTAGTAATCTAACTTCTATATTCGCAGCTATTCCTTGGATGTGATCGTGTTGCATTGCAACGCCGAGAAATCGACTGACAAAGAGAACTGGGTGTTATCGGGCTTACTGTATTTGTGTACCTTTTCCGAACAACGCTGAGCCCTCAGTCACAGATTTCACTTTGTCTAAATCACTAAATTGCTAACCTAAGGGTGTATGTAAACATTGTTTCCCGTTTTAGGCGTTTGTCTAGAACCTTGTCAGTCGGTAGCTCACCATATGTTAAGCTTGCGGCTCAGTAGAATCTGCAGTTTCGTTGACGTAACTTGTGTTGTTGTCAAATTGCGTTCAACAAATCAGCTAGACAAACTGTCATTGCATTCCTCAATATTCTTCGGTAGTGAGAAAATTGTTCTCGGATCCAGCCGTCCTTTTTCGTTTCAGCACAGCGGGTTCACACCAAACCTTTTCATAAGTAATTAGCATGGCGTCCATTGGCAACACCGATTTAGCAAATGTTCTTTACGCAAGAGGCCTGTTAATGTGCATCTCAACCTTGTTTCGACTCATTGGTCAATGTGGCTCAGTGTCTATCAACTGTTCATCTTTCATAACCAGTGTAAACCCGAAGGAATAATACTGGGAGGTGTGTAGATGATAGCCATGAATGATTCGGAGCCGGTCCACACTCCTTCAACACGCAAATTGTTCATTTGATGATCAGAAGCAAACATGCATACCAGACGTACACAAGGCGGTGCCTGAGCCTCAGCCCGTTCCATACAGGATGGAACCACTCTTTGAGCCTAGCACCGTCACGAGTTAGGTACACCTTCTCCCCTCCATCAACGACCAGGTGTCTCCTGGAGCCAGTATAGACGAATTCGTAGGCGCCTTGTTAACATTCACATCAGGCGCAGCCACATCGGGAATATAAATCAACAACCAACACTTGAAATATAAGAAATACTCAGGCACATTTACTGACCAACTACAACAATGCTGCAGCACACGTACCACAACAACCACTTTATTGCAATAGGTTTGTAAGTCGAATGGATGCGGACGCAGCGCACCTACCAATTACTGTGCCGCTTATGGTTAGATACTCACTTGACTCCTCGTCTTTTGGATGCCGGCCCCAGGTGGCATCGCTGGTGGCTTACCAGGCCCGCTCGGCTCAGGCACTCGCGACCGCATGTGCTACAGCACTATGCACTTGACGTCGGTGGACTAGATTCCACCAGTGCCTGATTTTTCCGGACCCGGTGTTTGCCTCCGCATACAGTAATGTTTTCTCTTGTACCTGAGCAAACGCCCACATGATCAGCTCTGGCCATTCGCGACTATCAACTTCCTTTGCTTTCCAGCACATGAAATCATCATTAGTTGTAGTCTACTCACCTTGTCATGCCCTGGTAAGGTAACTTCGGTTTTCCCACGTACCGATTCCCTGCACGCAGTTGGCCACAAAGCAGCTTTTTCGATATCCTGCCTCGAAATCATTCGGCTGATATGCCCCAGCCACCTCAGGTGCCGCAGCAGAAGTATGCAGTCCACTGCACACATGCCACTACGGCGCAGCTCTTTCGTGTTTACAATTCTATCACATCAGCCGATACATAGCATCCGTCGCAGACACTGTTGAGGAAACCGCTCCACAATTCTGACATCCTTCTGGTAAATCATCCACGTCTCGCTGTCGTATAGAATAACTGAAATTACCATAGATTTGTATATCATTGGCTTCGTTCCAACGGTAACCTGGTGATTGTACCACATACGGTTTTCTAACCGTCCATACACAGCAGCAGCTTTGGTTACGCGGATTGCGCATCTCGCTCATCATCTGCAGACCAGTCGAAAGTGTAGTACTGAGGTAGCAAAATATGGAAATGCTTTCCATAACGTCATCATCGATGTGGAATCGCGACAAGCATATGAACTCTATTTCTGGTGTATGCTTAAAAAGACAAACAGTCTTATTTGTGGTGGTGGTGAACACAAATTTGACCGCTGTAGAAGGGAGGGACGTAGGCATTTGCTGCAACTCATCCGCGCTGTGCGCAAGCAACGCAGTGGTCGGAAGATAGCAACATACTGTTAGTTGTCTCACAATCTAGCGTTCTAGCACAGAAACCACGAATTTACCAGCTTACCATCAATACGTGGTTTCACACGAACACCGTAATTACAAGCAACATCCAAAGCACAAGATATCATTGCATGAAGGTGTATATTAAACAGGGCAGGAGCTAAGACACAGTCTTGCTTCACACCAGACACAACTGCAAATTTATCAGTTTGTCCACTTAGGTGCACCCTTACCCGCATCCCGCTGTGCATACATTCACTTAAACTTACGAACTTACGCGGGCAATCAAACTTACCCAACATCAGTCATAGTTCCTCGCGGTTCACCGCGTCAAGTGCCTTGGGGAAGTCACCAAACAGCGAGTACAATGGCTGGAGTTGCTCTCGGCATTCCTCCTTCAACTAACGTGCCGCGAACACCATATCTATAGTGCTGCGGTCCGAACGGAATCCACATTGTTCTTCCGACACGTTCGGTTCAACAACCTGAGTGACGAAACGATTGAGCAGGATTCGGGCGATCAGTTTACCCACACCATCCAGCAAGTTGATATCACGATAATTCGTGCAACACTGCTTGCACCTTTTACCTTTGTACAGTGGTAGTTTGTAGGCACCTTCAGCTCTTCCGGACTGCCGGCACCTCCATATGCATTGAAGAATAAACTATTTTTTAAAGATCTGCAGCGCATTTAACAACGCGGGTCCACCATGTTTCAACATTTCAGGCAGGATACGTTGGGTCCAACACACTTGCCGTTTCGCAAGTGAACAAATGCTGTGTCACATCCATTGTCGGTGTGTCGGCAAGACACATATTCATCTCTCGCTGCGGCAGCCCGTACAACATAGACCAGTCAGTCTCTGAACGGTTTTTCAAGTGATAGTCCTAGTAATCACTTCTCTTATATCGCCTTATCTTATTGTTTTAATGGTCTGTATGACATGCGATCATGAGTTGTACTTGAGATCGAACTGGAGTATGCCGGTACTCAGTAAGACTTGGGTACTTCGCCTGCCATCACGTCTGTGATTTTTCTGGACGATGCTATTTTATTGCGCCACGCAGGATGGATAAATAATGGGATAAGTCAAGAGGGGCAGGTTATTCTAATGTCCGGATGACTGTAATCGGGGCTACTCTGACTCACGGCTGACTTCCAGGCCAGCTTAGTTGAATGGCGCTGATCAAGATGGACACTAATGTGTGCAGAAAGGGATCTAGCTTCTCATTCTGCCAATGTGCTAGTGTTGTTGCTAGCGAATGGTGAGCTTTTATGTCTGAAAAAGCTACGACTTGATGAGGTCAAGTGGAGTGAACAAAAGCTTGATTAACATCTGTGACTCCAGCAGAGAAATATTTATCGAGTGCATTATTGTGGTGCATCGAGGTATAGTTACAAATCAAAATAAGGTTCAAATGGGATGAGTTAAAAAACATTGAAGGAAATTAAATGAGCAGTAATTACCACCGGATTGTCAGGAATCCTGGTGCAACTAAATGAACTGCAACCCCCTAAACTTTCGCTACCAGGTAGATCAGGCACGACAAATTTTAAGTAAGGTCAATGCACAAGATGCGAGCAATGCCGAGCTCATTTTATTAAGAATGTGGTTGTAATGAGTATTTCTCATAAATATCGTCTGTTGATGCGGGTTCGCCCAATTTACGTCAGATCTCTCCTGCGGTAAGATAGTTGAAAACTTGTGCATGAAATACATGTTTGGTGTTATTGCACCTAATGGATTCAGTCAGCTTATTTTCTAATGATTTATGTCTTGCTAAGAAGAATTCGGAACGCAACCTTGTACATGCCCTAGGGATGTGGAAGCTGGATAATGTATTTCTAATTGAATATGGCTGAACAGGGCTTGATTATATAGATCCAGATTCCCCGGGACTTTTACGATTTAAATCAAACAGGAAAACTATGTTGATCCTAATTCTCCTCACACAGAGTGGTTCTGTCGTCAACCACTTACTCCGCTTGGCTAAGTTCAAAAGCTTTATCCTAGCGACCGTTTGATAAAGGGTCGTTACAGTTTTTTAGGTTGATTTTGTTGTCCCTTTCTAAGTTTACAATTACTGATGTACAATATTCGAAGATTGGGTGAGCCTATGCTTTATACGTATCTAGCCTTGGATCCTTCAAGTATAAAGTATTGATAATACGTGCTATATTAAATCTAGTTTTTGTTGCGACATAGTGTATCTGTTCCAAGCA